ATCTTCTGCCCTCCATTGCTTTTGTCCTACAAGCTTCCCACCTCTCCGATTTTGGCAAGAGGGCCATCCACCCAGGCCTTCTGAATGTTCCTCTAGAACAAAGAGTAAGAGAGTGTTCTCAAGTTCCAAGGACAAAATCTTTCACTGAGAGTAACAAGGGCAGTTTCTAGGCCCCATTCTGTCCCTAAGGGTGCCTCCATCTGCTTACCCACTGCATGGGTGCCAAGGGAAAATGCTGGCATCCTACCTCACCCCCACCCAGGAGACCTCTCAGGCCCTGGCCTCATTCTGCATGTGCTGCACCCTGGGCCTGCTTGCTGGCCGGCAGTTGCTCCCTGGCAGCAATCCAGAGCCTGCGGGGCCCATATGGCAACCCTGGTTTAACAGAAGATCCAACCAGGCCATGATGGACCATCCACAGCCCTATTTGTCAGAGCAACATGCTCCTGAGCCCAAGGCCAGCCATCAGAGCCTGTGAGGAGCAGTGGGTGGATCCTACCATTGTCAGGAACACTGGGGAATCTCAGGGGCACCTCATTCTCCCTAGTCTCAGCCTGCACAATCTCTAGTGGTCCCTCAGTGACATTCTGAGTGTCCAGGTATCATCTTAGGGGGCAGCCCATATCCTTAGGGACTGACACCAGATCAGGAGGCACCCCACTCACTACTAGAGGATTCCTGCAGCCCTCTCCCCAGTCCCCTTCCTTCCTGATGGCTGCCCACCTCCACCCCTTCTCATGACATGGAGGCCAGGCTTCCACTTTGAGGTCTCAGCTCTAATTTTGCTTCTCAGCTGTCCCTAACCACCTAGCCTGGAAGGCACCCCTGCTTTCCTGCTTTAGTCCCTACGTCAGTCACTGCAGGCTTCCCTTGCAATCCTTGGTTTTTATCTCTTTCCCACTCTCTGTAAGAACCACAGGGCAGGACCTTGTCTTCCCAGCCTCTGTTGGGTCCAAAAGGCCTGTCCCAGGGCATGCACTCAGTAAATAACTGCCAAGTGAATAAATGAATTTTCACTGCCAACAGCCTCCCGTAAGCAGGTCATCTCACCCAGACTCTGCAGCCTACAGTCCACGCCAACCACCTTTAAGCCTCTTCTATTGCAACCTCATACCCACTGCCCTAACTGTCCTGCTTGCTGCTTACAGAACCTTCTGTTTGCCTCCAAACTTTTGCCCATCAGGACCCTCCACTTGAAACTCCCTGACTCCTAGGTAGCCTTCACGACCTGGCTCAAGACACCATGTATTCCTGAGAACCTTTTCTGTTTCTTCCAATTAGAAGCATTGCTTCTCTGGTCTCTGAGCCCCAGTGAACAAATCTCTGTGGGAAGGGAGGACAGCACTCTCATTAACAGATTGTTGGCCAGGTGCAGAGGCTCACACCTGTTACCCCAGCACTTTGGGAGGCCAAGGCGGGTGGATGACCTGAGGTCAAGAGTTCGAGACCAGCCTGATCAACACGGTGAAACCCCGTCTCTACTAAAAATACAAAAATTAGCCAGGTGTGGTGGTATGCAACTATAATTCCAGCTACTCAGGAGGCTGAGACAGGAGAATCACTTGAACCCGAGAGGCAGAGGTTGCAGTGAACTGAGATCACACCATTGCACTCCAGCCTGGGGGACAGGGTGAGACTCCATTTCAAAAAAACAAAACCAAAAAAACCCAAAAAAACAAAAAACAGATTGTCTTCTGATTGATTAGGTTCTCTATAAATCTAAACACTGATTATCCTCCCCCAGCCTACCCCAGCTCTCACCATGGCCACAGCCAGGCCTATCACCGTGATGATCCCAAAGGACAGAAGCATGGTACCCACGCCGGCCGCGCCACCAGGCGCATCAGGGATTCTGGTGTCATTAAAGGTGGTGGCCTCTGGGCTGAGGGTAGTGGTCTCGGAGGCTGGCCCATCTGTGGCAGGTTCCAAGTCAGACTCAGAGGTGGGTGGGCGGCTGCTGAACCAGCCCCTAGCAGGTGCAGTCCTGGAGTTCATGCTGACGCGGAGAAGGCCCTGGCTGAGAGGCTGCCTGAGGCCAGTCAACCTGCCCACTCACTCCTGACTCCGGAGTGCCCCAGCCTGTGGTTCCTGCCACTGTGGTGGCCACCTGCACAGCCACCTCCTTGGATAAAGGGAGCCCCCTGCCTTCCTGGGTGCTAGAAAGGAAAGAATAAAAAACATGAGGCTAAGGACAGGGGCTCAGTAGTGAGATGAAGTCTTTCTAGGTTCTGAAAGCCTTGGGGAGATAAAGGTTTGAGGGCAAGGATGAGGGAAAGTTCAGGAGACATTAGGACATGTACTTTACATATCTATGGTGCCCTTGTTTTTAGGAACAAAAATTAAGACCTGCATCCTCTGTCTGTGAGTAAGGAGATCACGGTGATCATACCTGGAAGATATGAAAGGCAGCGGGGATTTTGAAAGAAAAAGTCTCCATCCCCTGATCAAAAACTCCCCACAACCTGCATCCCCATATCCACCTCCTCATTCCCTCCCTCCCACATCCCTCATCCTGCTTGGGGAAAAAAATACCACAGCTTTTTCCTTTCCTGGAGGGAAACACTTGCCTAAGAGTCAGACAGGCCTGTCTTTGATCCCAACTCAGCCGCTTAACTAGATGACCCCAGGCAAGTCACTCCACCTTTCTGTCTCCATTTTCCTGAGTCTAAGGTGGGAATATTGAGAACATCCCTACAGGGTCGTGGGCTAACAGAAATGGCAGAACCAACAGGCCTCTAAGAAAGACTTAGCTCAGCACAAGCCCCATCCACAGTAAACATCCAATACATGTTAGGTTTTCTCCCCATGGCCAACCCAGTCACAAAGGGGGAGCCGCAGGAGCCCCTGGACCCAGGCCACTGTGTGGTCCAGGCTATGCTTGGAGTGTGAGTGCAGGCAGATGTGAAAAGGCCAGAAGACGAGAGAGAGGCTCTGGTCCTCTGGCAGGGCTTCTCTGCAGGCTCTTGGGGACATTGGACTGCCCTCCCTCACCACTATCAATAGAGGGGCTGCTAGGGTCAAGGAGAAAGGCAAGCGGGGAACATAGCTTCAGAGGCAGGAATGGAGCTCCCAGTTTGGGTGCCTTCTCTTCCTTTACTCTCCTCCCCTGGAAGCAGAGGGTGAGAGATTTGCCCAGTGCAGAGGGCCCTGGTTAAGGAAGGGTGGGAAGAGGTTCCAAGCCAAGCTGCAGACGGGAAGGTCTAGCGAGAGGAGGGAAACCTAGCTTATGGTTGCACACATGTCCCCCTGGGCTGGCCCATTAGTGGGGGTGCCTCCCTGTAAAGATGCAGGGGTGTGTATGAGGTATGCACACATCTGTGATGGCCCCTTAGGAAACGGCAAGGCTGGCAGAGGGTTACGGGGTAGAAAGGCTCATCCCTCTTTGCCTTCTCCCTCCAGCTCGGCTGGGCACACAGGGAGGTCCCGGGTTCTTTTCTTGGCTCTGCAACTGATCCCGGGCGTGACCTTGGGCCAAACCCTTAGCTCGTGCTCTGGGGCTCTGTTTACTTCTCCTCCAAATGAGAGAAGGAGCCCTACTAACCACTTTCCAGGCCAGCCTCAGGGTCCAAAGGGGAAGCAGGGAAGGAAACCGGGGTGAAATGGGTCGGCACTGCGACCTTCGAGAACCCACAAGCCGTTCTCCCCCAGGTCTCTCAGTATTCCCTGCCCCAATCCCCATGTCCGCCTCCGCGACCCTGTGATGCCTCCCTTCTTGCACAGGAGCAGCGACCTCAGCACTTACTTAATCCTCTCCGGGCGCCGAGCTCAGTTGGAGAGGCTAGGGGTGGTGGCGACTGGCGGGAGGCCGGGGCGGTGGGTCCAATCCGAGGTCCGTCCTCCCTGCACTCTCCGAGCCGCAGGCCAGGCCCGCTACTACGCACCGGCTGCAGCCGCGAACACTGGCTCTGCCAGCCTGGGCGAGGGTGGGCAGGCCCAGGACCCACGGCAGGGGTGGGGCCGGGCCAAGCAGCCTCAGGGGATCCCCGAAGCTACAGTGCTTTGCCTCCCCGCACGCTCCGCGCCCCCGGCCCCTGATTGGCTGTCGGGCCTAGAGCCCGCCCAGAATTGGACCGTTCGCTTGTCGCTCGGGTCTGACTCCACCCTTAGATGGAGCCTGGAGCCGAGTCGCAGTTCTTACGGAGACCGCACCTCACCCCTTGGCCTGCGCTGAAGTTGGGCGGGGAACCGTGAGTGGCCAGACCCTTCCTGGGCTAGAACTCGGGATCCCTGCCAGCTACCCATGCCGGGACAGACTCACGCCCCAAAATGCAGATGTGCCGAGGAGACTTGGGGAGAGCACTGGACTGGGAGTCCTTGGGCCTACACTTAACTCTGGCTGACTTTGCGACCTTGAAGAAGCTGCTTTCCTTTCCTTAGCCCTGGATTTCTACTAAGTTGGGTCCTCTGGTGTGAGGTATCTTGGTACATGACTCCAACCCCGGGCTAGAAATGGGAAATCTTCATCTAGAGAATTTGAGGAGTGTGGAGGATTTATTATTGGGCACCCCGACCCAGGCAAGCCTACATAAACCCTCACGATAGCGTCCAATCCACGGCATGCTTAGCTCAGGGAACGAGCCCTCAGATACTCCTAATCTGCCGGTTTTCAAAGGAGTTTACGAGGATCACTGGGTAGCCTGGTACAAATGCAAATACCCCTGTGGAAGGACTGGGAAGGAGTCAGGGAAACAGCATGTTTAATAGTAGTTTAAGGCGGGGTGTCGTGGCTCACGTCTGTAATCCCAGCACTTTGAGAGGCTGAGGCGGTGGATCACAGAGGTCAGGAGTTCTAGACCAGCCTTGACCAACACAGTGAAACACTGTCTCTACTAAACATACAAAATTACTCGGGCGAGGTGTGGCTCACGTCTGTAATCCCAGCTACTTGGGAGGCTGAGGCAGGAGAATCGCTTGAACTCAGAGGCGGAGGCTGCAGTGAGCACAGATTGTGCCATTGCATTTCAGCCTGGGCAACAAGAGTGAAACTCCGTCTCAAAAAAAAAAAAAAAAAAAAAAGTTTAGTTAACAGTGTTCTATTAACAGTAAATTCTGGTGGGGGGATGTTTACAAGACACACTTTGCGAGACGCTGCCATGAATTTTACAGAAGGCGCAACTGAGTTCCAGAGGGGTCCCAACACCTGGACAGTCTCCTGATGAGTTGCCAATAGAGTCAGGATTCGAACCCAGCTCTCTGGCTTTCTGCTCCAAATCTTAAACCGGGGCGGGAGGGAAAAGAGCAGCCCCCGGGTTCTGGTCGCCACCCGGCCCCGCCTGGTGGGCTCGGGCCACTGCCCTCGGTAGGGTCACGACAATAGGACAGGACCCCAAAGTTGGACCCGTCTTCAACACTGGAACCCGCCCACGCACAGCTTCACCCGGCCACCGACTAAAATAGACCACGCCCCCGGACATCTGGTCCCCGCCCTCGAACTCCTGGGCCCCCTGGTGACAAGTCTCCGTTTCGGCAGGCTACGGGGCTCCGCCCGCACACCGGCCGGGCCCGGTCCCTAAAAGGCAGCTCAGAGCAAATCCCATTGCACTGGAACCATATCCCTGCTGTGACTTTAAGGAAGACCAGCAGGTCCGGGCCCCCAGGGGTCAACCGCGCCCACGTCTTCGCACTTCCTGCCTGTGGGCCTGCAGGCGTAGAGGGCGTGGAATTCACAGCCTCCTCTCCCAACCGCAAGGGTCTGCCTTCTGGGAGGAACCCACCACGATAGGAACCCTGAAGTTCAGCTACGGCGTCCTCCCGAGCCCTTTCTTAAATGCGCAGGCTCCGGAAGCGGGGCGGAGCGCGCGGCGGGTCACGCACATCCGGGCGTCGAGTCCGGGGCATCTTCTCCGGCAGGTGGGTGGGTGGTTGGGGTGGCCTCTCAGGCAGGTATGAACGGGAAGTGGGAATCGGAACCGGGTGTTTCGACAGCAACAGACTGGAGACCTGGCCAGTCCCATTCTCTATAGAGCAGATGGAGAAACAGGGTTGGAGGGAGGGGACCTGGTCTGGGTCGTTAACGATGCGGTACGTGGCTGGAAGGGAGTTTAGCCCCTGACTTCGGGCCTTGGCTCCTGGGATGGCGCACTGGTGCACAGAGCCGCTTCTGAAGTTCGTTGGACTTGGATTCGTATCATGCCTGGGACAGTTTCTATCTGAGTGACATAGGGCAAGTTGCTTCCCTTCTCGGATCCTACTTGTATCTGAAGATGTGGCACTTAGCAGGTGCTCAGTAGCTCAATAGACGCTAGTTTGGACTTTTATCCTAGGGATAGTAAAGGGGATCAATGATTTTTTTGTTGGTGGTGGTGGTGGTGAGACAGAGTCTTGCTCTGTTGCCTAGGCTGGAGTGCAATGGAGGGATCTCGGCTCACTACAACCTTGCCTCCCGGGTTCAAGCAATTCTCTGCCTCAGCCTCCTGACTAGCTGGGATTACACGTACCTGCTACCATGCCCGGTTAATTTTTGTGTTTTTAGTAGAGACGGGGTTTCACCATCTTGGCCAGGCTGGTCTTGAACTCCTGACCTTGTGATCTACCCGCCTCAGCTTCCCAAAGTGCTGGGATTACAGGCGTCAGCCACCGAGAGGAACCACTGATTTTTAAACCTTCAGTTAAACTTGCTTGTGACGTCTGTAAATATAAAATTGTAAATTTTTTAGTTGGCAGTTTACAGTGATGTCCTTAATTATGGGTTAAATTAGAAGGAAAGTTTCAGCATACAAATCAATGACAGTACATGCAAAACGTCAGATGCAAAGCTCACAATCAAAGGCAATCATCTGCTCCTTGTAACATCAGTTAAGATCATGTAACATCCGGTCCCTGCTGTATGTTGAGCTGCCTCCAAGCCTTTGATATTCATAGACTAATGCATTGCTTACCATGGGTTTGGTGTGATTTCCCCCCATCTTATGGATTAAGAAAGTGAAATTCAGAAATGATGACTTGCTCAAGGTTACACATGCTAAGTTAGACACAGATCAGTCCTATGTGCAAATATGTGCCCTAACCTACCACCAGCCCATTTAAATTAGCAGAGACTGAGCTATGGGCTCAGCCCACTCCAGCTAAAAATATGAAGAAAACAGCCAGGCACGATGGCCCATGCCTGTAATCCCAGCACTATCAGAGGCAGGTGGATCATGAGGTCAGACGTTCAGACCAGCCTGGCCAAGATAGTAAAACCCTGTCTCTACTAAAAATACAAAAATTAGCTGGGCATGGTGGCAGGCACCTGTAATCCCAGCTACTTGGGGGGCTGAGGCAGGAGAATTGCTTGAATCTGGGTGGCAGAGGTTGCAGTGAGCCGAGGTTGCACCACTGCACTCCAGCCTGGGTGATAGAGTGAGACTCCGTCTCAAAAAAAAAAAAAAAAAAAAAAAAAAAAAAAGTGAAGAAAACATAAGTAGTCAAGACAAGAATGATCAAACAGGTGTGTAAGGCTCTAAATGGAGTCAAGGTGGTGACAGAGCAAGAGCACACCTATTCTTAGGCAACGTGTTGGTGGAAGGGGGTTGTCATACAAGGCTCATCTGCTTTCCTGGTTCCTCTCACTCCCAGGGTGGCAACCAACTATGTATGAGGACCAGTGCCATTTTGGGGCACCAGAGCTTGTAACCTTTTCATCTCTACCCAGCTGGGGCCAGGGACCACTCTCAGCACCCACCTCAGCAGCTGACATCATAAGACCGACTTGGGAACCTGGAGTCACTCTGGTGAACCTTTTTCTGAGACATGGAGCTTTGGGGCCGAATGCTATGGCGCCTCCTGTCTGGCCCAGGGAGGAGGGGAGGTATCCGGGGCTGGGCCTTCAGCTCATGGCAACCTCATCCACCTCTGGCTGGGTTATCCAGTGCCATAGACCTGGTCAACCACTGGACAAGGGTCTTTGAGAAGAAAGGTGTCCCTGAGGCCCGGGAATCCAGTGAGTACATCGTGGCTCATGTCCTTGGAGCCAAAACAGTTAAGTTCAGTGTTGTCAAGAGGGCAGGAAGAGGGAGGAGGGAGGACCTCAGGGAAGAGATATCCAAGTTTTCTGCCCACTAAGAGTGCTTAGCTGAAACTGATAGGATTTTTCTGGAGGAACATCTTAGTGCCTGTCACACACTGTAACAGTTTGTTGGATGAATGAATAAATTTCTGCCTAAGTTTTTAGGGATAGACACCTGGAAGCCTGGTATTAGCTGTTTAACCTTGTTCAGGATGCTGCCCCACTCTGGGACCAGATAATGAGAGGGATGGGCCTCCATACCAGTGCTGGACAGGCATTATCCACATAAGACACCTGGGTTGGGGCCCCTGGGCCCAGTGAGCCAGCCACTTAACATTCTCTGTGGGGACAGTTTCAGAGCCTGAGGCCAGCCCTTCGGACCCAGCACTTGACCTCTCAGCAACTACAGTGTATCCAGGAGCTGAGTAGCCGTCGATTACAGAGGTGAGCACCCATGGATCAGACGTGAAGGATGTGTTTGGGGAGTGCAGTCCAGCCTCCTCCATCCCCGCCAAGTTCAGGGAGGAGGAGTTGTCCAAGGACTAGGGAGGTGTTGGGGTACAGAAGTGACAAGAGTGGGGCCCGGGTAGTAAATAGGAAGAAGGGAACAAGGGAAGGCTTTGCCCCAGGAGTCCCAAGGCATTGGAGACATGGTCTTGCCTGATACTTTGGCCACAAGTGGTGTCTCTCAACCCAGGCATGGTCCTGTTGGTCCTGGCTCTGTCACTGATGACTACCCTGCTGCCCCCTCTGCAGGATGCCCGTGCAGTACATCCTTGGAGAGTGGGACTTTCAGGGTCTCAGCCTGAAGATGGTGCCCCCCGTGTTTATTCCTCGGCCAGAAACAGAGGTAGGTGTGCCACCAGGGCAAGGCAGGATCGAGATGAGGGTGTCGTTCAGGGCACCAGTCTTGCCCCAGGCTTCCTCCAGGGGGCACTGGGGCACCATGACTGCTATCTTCAGGGACAGTGCCTTTCTAGACATATATCTCCTTGCTGACTGTATTGGCAGAGCCCAGAAGACAGAGGATTCCTGTTGGTCCCCTTGACTATCCTCATGTTCCAAGCTACCACCCCAGCCTCCAGGTCTGGCAGTGGCCCAGAGTGCCTCAAATAGTGCTGCCCAAGTACTTAGCCTGTTCTTGCCATTTCTCTGGGAGCTGTCCTGTGGGCCCATGGCTCACCCAACCCACAGAGAACCAGTGCCCTCCAGCAGCTTCTCAGGAGGCATGGAGGAAATGGAGAGGGCTCTAGCCAGACAGCTGGAGACCCTGGTATCAGCTATGCGATTTCAGGCAGGTCACTGCCCTCCGGACCTCTCTGGACCCAGATGATGAGAGGGTTAGACCTCCAGACCAGAGAATCTGGTGGCCCTCTTAGGTCTACTGATTGGTCTGGTAATCACCTGTGTCATCCCTCAAATTCCTAGAACTAGGGATGTGTGGCACAAGTGTGCTATCCCTTGGTAAGGCACACTGGTCCTGGAAAAGATGCCTTCTGTGGCCCTTCTTGGACTCCTCTCTGACCTTGTAGGTGGCAGAGCTGGGAGCCAGATGGTGCAGACCAGGGAGTAGAGCTGGGTGAGAGCTGATGGGCAAGCCAGAGGGCGCTAGGTTCTGAGAAGGAATTTCTAGAAAGACCCAGGCACACAAACATTTCTGGGAAAGGTTAGTTTCCATCCACCTGCTGCAGCCAGGGGCCCCAAACCCTTCCTTCACTTTCCCAGCTTCTGACCCCTAGCCAAGAAACTCTCTGACCCCTCTCCCCTATTTATCATGTGGTTGGGAGGCCAGGTCCTGTCTTCACTGACCAGTGTCAGGATGGGGACAGTAGAGAATCTGAGGCCTTGCTGAAGTCACAGGGCTGTCAAGGAGGGGAGCATGGGGGCAGCACTTGGATTTCCTGACTCCCAGGTCAGAGCCCCATCCCTCAAATGGGGCTGCCCCATCTGCAATTGGCATGACCTAGGATGCAGTATGGAGACCCAGAGCAAGGTGTGGCCTGCCACGAACAGGCTTTGGGAGGCCATCCTGTGGCTCCCAAAAACGTGATCTCTGGTGAGATCATTTGCTGTCTTCAACTGCCCAGGATCAGGGCAGGGTGACCTTTGCGTTCCTTCAGAGCTGGCCTGGCACCAGCCATATGTGCCAGGGTTCTGAGTATCAAGTGTGGACTTTGGCTCCCATGTGGCCCCCTGATTCTTGGGTGAGTCTGGGCCAAGATAGCAGCTCTACTGCAAGGGATGGAGTGAGGAAACATGCTATGATTGGGAGGCCAGGTGTTCACCTCACTGTGCAGACATTTCTGAGAACTCACCAGGTTCACCCCGATGTAAAGCCGCATTGGGGGATGTCTTACCAAGAAGTCAAGAGGACGTGGCCTGTGGCAGGGAGTGGTGAGCATGGGTGTGGGAGATAGTTTCTGATGAAAGGGAGTCTGAAGTGCAAACTTGCAGGAAGAATGTGGCCCAGTGAGTTGGATTTTCCCCAGGCCTGGCAGTGCATACAGTAGGAAACTCAGGGCTGGGGCTGTGAGCCATTCTCACGCAGCCTGGTGTGAGGCTGTACAGGGTGTGGGAGGCTCAGAGTTTTGTCTGTGATTGTCTTGAAGGAGGCAATGCCACCTCTCTGGGGCTGTCCCACCATAGAGGGTACTCGTAACACTCAGGTTCTGCTGAAGCCTTGGGCCAACCTCTTGATGGGGTATGGAGTCCGTGTTGGGGCAGCAGTTCTAGGCAGGGCCGACAACTGCCTGCCCCTCACCTCCTTCCTGCATGCCCCTGCCCCTTGGCCCCACCCTGTTCTTGATTCTTCCCATATTCATCTGGAGGGGGTGCCCTGAGCCTGTGACCAGCTTGGTTTTCAGTCTCCCCAAAAGAGCCACTGGTATCAGGCTGAGGGGGGCTCTTCACTGGGCGAAGAAGACAGTTTCTGGACTTCTTAGGCTGTTCTTTACCCCTGCCCCAAGATGGGGCACAATAGCCAAGATGAGTCTCCTGTGGTCTGGAGCGTTATGGCAAGCAAGAGGCCACTAGTGGTGGCAGGAGCTCAGTCTCAGTTTCTCACCCTCCCCAAGGTGGCCATCCACATTTGTGGTGTGTGTCTTTGAGGTCGCGAGTATCTCTGTGAGGTGGCTGGCCAGTGTGGTTGGCTGAGGGGTCATTCTCCAGCCAGAGTAGATCTGTCTATGGCCCGGAAACCAAGAGAGGCTCACACACCTGGCAAGTCCTGGTCACCCTGCCAACCTCTCAGCATGTGGCCTCACCACTGAGACCACAGGCTCTCAGTCAACAGCCCCACACTGCTCACTCTTTACCTGTCCCAACCCTGCAGGCCCAGCTTGCCACAGGTGCCCTAGTGGTCTCCACTAGTGCCTGGCACAGGGCTGGTGAGAGCTAGTGAATACACGCCCTCTCCTGCTGGAGCTGGGCCCCCTCACCCACAGGCAATCACTTGTTTGATGCAGAAGAGGCTTGGAACAGGGTGGGATGGACCTGCTGGCCAAGTTCTGCCTGCCTTGGATTTGCCACCCTCTGGGTAGATGAAAATTGTTGCTGGGGTTGGGGGCCTGGAAGGGTGAGATGCTTTTTGGAACCCAGCAGTGGGGAACTTATATGGAAAATAAGTGTGAGTGATCTGGAACCCTCTGCTCCACAGAGCCTGGCTGATGGCATTGGGGTATAGGGGAGACCTGGGGATATGAGACACAGAAGGTGGTGCAACAGAGAGTTTGCCCAGCACTTAGAAAGTAGCCAAGAGGTATGTCTGTGGGCCAAGCCATGCCAGTGTGGGACGTACTGCCATGAGTTGGGCCTCAGGTCTTCCCGTTATACAGTCTGGTGGGAGAGGCAAACCCCGTCCTAGGCGTTAGGCACAGGGTGGGGAAAGCTGTGGTGGAGAGAGCCTGGCCCAGGCTTAGGGAAGATTTTCTGGAAAAAGTGGGCCTCTTTTCAGATCAGGGAAGCACCCACTTGCTGCCCACCATCCCCACTTCCCTGAGCCAGTCTTTCCTGAGAACTGGGATCCCAGGAGTCCTGACCCTATGGGGGGCCCCTCTGCCCACATCCAAAGGGATGCCTTTGAGATGGGGCTACACTGCCCTTTCCTTGCTCCACGCCTGGGTACTCAGGTATCCAACTCCACTGCTGGTTAGAAACATTTCGGCCATTGGACAGCAGGATCCCTCCACCCTTCACCCCTACCCTGTGTTGGTTTCCAGGCATAGTTCTTGCAGGCAGTGGCTTGGTGAACAAGGCTTGAAACCCTCTTGTTTCCAAAGTGAACGTGTCTGAAAATGTCCTCCTGCTGACAAGGCGGGTACAGTGCAGTCAGGCACCTCCCTCTGCACCCGTGCCTGTGGACCCGTGCCTGTGTACCACAGCCCTCATCAGGTATAGAACTTAGTCAGGACCATGTCCCCCCATGGCCCATTCCCTCCAAAGGATGGAATTTCCTGTCCCTTTGGCTAGGAGCCTCCCTGGGGCTTCTCAAGCTCAGCTCTGTGAGGAGGCTGCTTGCCACCATGAACCACAGACCAGGCTCAGGTGGGGCCTTGACCCTAGGCCTCAGTTTCCTCATGGGACAGTTGTGAGGATTTAACAGATTATACAGGAAAAGCTCTGGGAGGAGGGTCAGGCCAGAGGCAGTGGCCAGAACTATCAGATACGGTTCTTAGCTTTTTTTTTTTTTTTTTCCTGAGGTGAAGTGTTGCTCTGGCTCCCAGGCTGGAGTGCAGTGGTGCGATCCCAGCCTACCACAACCTCTACCTCCCAGGCTCAAGCAATTCTCCCGCCTCAGCCCCTGAGTAGCTGGGGCTACAGGCACCTGCCACCACACCCAGCAGATTTTCGCACTTTTAGCAGAGATAGGGTTTCACCATGTTGGCCAGGCTGGTTTCAAACTCCTGACCTCAAGTGATCTGCCCGCCTCGGCCTGACAAAGTGTTGGGATTACAGGCATGAGCCACCACTCCTGGCTGGTTCTTAGCATTTCTGTAAGCACAGAATGGGAGGATGTCTGTAAAGGGTTTAGCTGGGATTGATTGAACACTTACCATGAAACAGGTGCAGATTAGTGCATTTAATCCCTACCACATCCCCACAAGGTGGGCTATCCTTGACTGGGCTCAGTTGTATAGATGGGAAAGCTGAGGCCTGGAGGGCCAAGGGTGACTTGGCCATGGCCCAGCTGCCGTGAAGTTCAGTCTGGCTTTGGCTACCTCCCCTTCCTACGTTCACACAGGGCTAACTGCTTGGGCCTCTGTATCAAGACTCCCAGGAGCCATGTTGGCAGCAACTCTGATCCAGACCCCTCTGCTTCACAGGAACTGGTTGAGTGGGTGCTGGAAGAGGTGGCCCAGAGGTCCCATGCTGCTGTGGGATCCCCAGGCAGCCCCCTCATTCTGGAGGTGGGCTGCGGATCGGGAGCCATTTCCCTCAGCCTGCTGAGCCAGCTCCCCCAGGTAAGCCCCTCCACCTGCTCTGGGTAGACTGTGACTGACACTCACTGTCCCTCCCATTAGTGCTTCCCCCACATCCCTCTGCTAGGAGCACTTGAGGGGAAGCAGCTAGATGAGGGAGGACAGGGCTGCCCTCAGCCCAGTGTGGTTCACAGACTCTAACTCCTACCACATCTGTCTGGCTAGACTTTAGCCAAGAAGAAAAGGCTGTTGGGTATTTCCCTTCTCTTCTGGTGGGGGGTTGGAGGAGGGTGCCCCAGGCCCAGTATCTCCCAGCATTGCCTTCCACATACCCTCTGTTTGTTCTCGGGACAGAGCCGAGTCATTGCTGTGGATAAGGGGGAAGCCGCCATCTCTCTGACCCATGAGAATGCTCAGAGGTAGGTGGGAGAGTTGTACTTTGGGGCCTGATCTTGACTTCTTTTCAGGTTTCAATCTAACCAATGTTTGATTCCTACTCCTAAGAAGGAGGAAGCAGTGGGAGTAGACTGGCATGGGTCCCACAGGATTCTGAATGGATAGTAGGCAGTGAGCATCTTGCCAGGTCCAAGAAGGGTTGGCCACAATACCTCACTCTTATAGCCAAGGGTAGGGGTCTGCCCCCGTGCTCACCCCTTTCTCTCCATCTGTTCAGGCTTCGGTTGCAGGACAGGATTTGGATCATCCACCTTGACATGACCTCAGGTACCCTCCCTGCATGCTCCTTGAGGTGGGAGCCTAGATATAGGTGCTATTGGGTTGATGAGGCACTCTGCAGAGATGGAAGGTGGGCTTCCCCAAAGCCACTCAACCACACACACAGTGTGTGTGTGCACATGTGTGGCAGCCCAAACTAGGCCTTGCTGAGGACAGCCTCCTAGGCTGACCAGACTCATAGGGACCAGCTACAGAGAACTTATGAGTTCGTTATGACTAGTGAGTTAAGAGCTTGCTTGTTGGCAACAGATAAGCAAAAGCTTAAAATAATGCCTTTGGGACCAAATACCTGAGTGCCCTTCTCCCCCACCTGTCCTGGCACTGCACAGCTCAGCCATCACCTTTAGAGTGTCCAGCTCAGCCATCGCCTTTACAATGTCCAGCTCAGCCATAGCCTTCATAATGTTTGCAGACCTCCAGCTCCAATTCTGGCTCCATCGCTTTATCCATGGGATCCTTGAGCCTCATGTGCCCCCTCCATGGAGTATGATATACTTGGTATAGCACCTGGGACAGGGTGAAACCAGTAGTCAGAACCATCAGGAATTGGCTGATGAGGCCAGGCCTGCCCTCCATGTACTCTCAGTCCATGTTGGCTATAAGGCTAGTGGAGCTACAGAAGAGAAAGGCTCTTTCCTGCCTAGGCAATCAGGGAGGACGCCCTGGAAGTCTTGAATGGAGTCTTACATAACAAGGAGGATTTTTGGCAAGGATCCTCTAGGTCTTGAAATGAAGGGCTGCCATGTTAAAGCACGCACATTCCCCACTAGGCTGTCAGCCAGGGACCCTGGGCACTAATTTGCAAGTCTGGCTTATCAGATCTAGAGGCAGGCCCAAGGTGTGGCTTGATGAGAGGGACATGGTGACAGGTAGAGCTACTATCCTTTACCTCCCAATGGGTTAGTACCTACTATGTGTTTTCTTCTTTGGCCACAGAAGGGAGCTGGACACAACTGCCCTGGGGCCCCATGGACCTGGTCGTCAGCAACCCTCCCTACGTCTTCCACGAGGACATGGAGCAGCTGGCCCCTGAGATCCGCAGGCAGGTGCTAAACAGGGTAGGCCAGAGAGGCCAGGCCTGAGAAGGCCTAATGGGATTGGTCTGCCCTCGAGGACCACACCATCTGGAGGGACAGCGGGGCTGGTGCTGAAAAAGGTGCGGTATTAAGCAGATACACTCCAGAGGCCATAATCCTACCTAGATTCCACTTCTACCTTCCTACTTAAGACTACTGGTTAGCCACCGAACCTCTGGGCCTGTTTCCTGCCTCTGATAAGAGAGAGGTAGTGCTCTGCAGGGCTATGGAAGGACTCAGTGGTGACCTGAAAGCATCAGACACAGTGCAGGGCCCATAGATGGGTATGCCATTTTATAGAAGACAGGCCCAGTGAGGGGAGGTGTCTTGTCTAGGGTCACATGGGGGCTTAGTGGGAAAGCTGGGACTAAACCTGGCTTTGCACCAGGCCATCCTCCCCTTACACAGGGGCTGAGAACCAGGGACAGCCCTGGAGTCCTGGATGGGGCAGCAGTCACGTGGGATGGGGTTGAGGTGTTGGTTCTCCCTTTCTGGGCTCACAGGAGTGGTCAGGGCTAGCTCTAGATCTCCTAGACCAAGAAGAGGAGCAGCCTGTGGGAAGGCATTCATGCCCTGACATGAGTCAGCCTGTCAGGAGGGGCCACCAGCCAATGGGACTCAGCAAGCACACCTGGCACTGCCTGGTAGGGTGCTGCCCATGGGAGGAAGGGAAGAGGAACTGCTACCCATTTGGGGGCCACCTTCTCTGGGTCTTCAGACTTGCCCTTCAGCCCAGAGTGTAAGTTCCATGGGGCCCCATTTGTGGAAACTCTGCCCACACCCTCCATGCATTTCGAATACCCTTCCCTCAGGCTGTCACCTCCCACTGCTTTCCCTTTCAGCTATGAAGACCCCGTAGCCCTGGACGGTGGGGAGGAGGGCATGGACATCATTACCCACATCCTGGCCCTGGCACCCCGGCTCCTGAAGGACTGTGGGTATGAATGGGATGGGTCTCCTAGGTCTGCCCCCAGCAGCCGCTTCTGCTCCTAGTGTGTACTGGGCAGGCCCTAGCAGAAATGAGCACAGGACCCTCACCTCGCCAGCCCAAGCCACCCAGAATGGCAGGTCCCAGCCCTGTCCTGCAGAGCCCACCCATTTCTCCCCCATGCAGGAGTATCTTCTTGGAAGTGGACCCGAGGCACCCGGAGCTTGTCAGCAGCTGGCTTCAGAGCCGGCCTGAGCTGTACCTTAATCTTGTGGCTGTGCGCAAGGACTTCTGTGGGAGGTGAGGTCCCACCCTCCTTTAGCCCCGTAGCATGCTAGTCTTTCCACTGGGGCCATCCTCAGCCCTGGCTGTGGGGAGAGTGTGCTGTTCCCACTCCCTGATCATTCCCCAGGGCCCAGGCAGTAACCAGCCCCTTGTCACTGTCTCCTCAGGCCCCGGTTCCTGCATATCCGGAGGTCTGGGCCATAGCATGGCTTCCCTGTGGATTCCTTGTCAGTGCCCCCAGCCTGACCAGAGGGAGGTGGATGGCACTTTCCAGAACCCAGGTGCTTATGGCATTTCCCATGGTTCTGTGATTTCCCCATGTTCTGCATTTCTAGGACATTCCTACCAGACCTGGGTAGACCCAAGTTCTCTGTCTGGCTGCATCACATCAGGGTGGCTGAGGGCAGTTGCTCTGTGTTGGTGAAATTGCTGTGGGGGTGTCGGGGGATACAGCCAGTAAAGTACTGAGAGACTAACAAATGGTGACCTAATGTTTTGTTCCATGACTTGCAGGTCCCCTGACCCCTTACTCTCAGGTAGCGCTGGGGTGAGAGTTTCCTTCTGCCCGAGCTGGGCTGGCTTGGTAGAGGTGTGGGAGTGCAGCCTGGAGAAAGGAACATGAGTGCTCACCCATGGCCTTAGATACCGTGGGGCCTGGCGTAGAGCACCTCACTCCCAGGGGTTGATTAGTCCTCCCCTGCCCTGGGTGCATGCACACATACTTCCCTGGCCAAGCCTGGCTCCGAGCACAGGAAGCTCATCTGCCCATCAGCTCAGGGATGACTGCTTGCTTTCTGGAGGGGAGGGCCTGGAGGTCCTTGCTGCATGGTTCCTGGGTCACACATCCACATTCATTTAACTGAAGCTTAAGCCAGTGAAGGGTGAGCAGGGCTTTTGTTTTCTTTTTCTCCCCATTGCTTTTAGCTAAAACATCCCTTCCAAGTTGACCCCCTGGGGTTTCAGATAACTGTTGTGTCCCTGGTTGGGGCTGGGGAGAATGAGAAGCTGAGAGATGGGGCACAGGGTTCTGGCCTCCACTGCAGCTCTGGTCTGTGCAGACTTATGGTCACCAGGAGGCCTGAAGATCCAGCCTTCCTGTCAACAGCAACAGGAAATCCCTAGGTTGGTGAGTGCTGATGGTGTGAGCCTACATCAGGGTGAGTCCTAAGGAGCATGGCAAACCAGGCTGGCTCATTCCACCAGACTGCCCCCCTGCTGCCCCGGCACTTCCAAGGACCTGGCAGTATGGTCTGTTGGGCAGCATTCTCTGCAGGAGCTGGAGAGCTGAGTTCCAGGGCTGCGTCCTGCAGTGGGACCTTGGGCAGCTCCTTTCCCTGTGAGAAGATGGCTCTTCTGAGTCCCAGGCCAATGCCAAGTGACAGCGTCTTTACTCTTAGCCAAGTGGGATGTACATGCTAGTGTCTGAATTCTCCAGAGAGAATGGACGTTCAGACACCAGCATGACCAACAGAAGGTGTGGCCTGTCTGAGGTCCCATGATAGTGGCCAAGTGGAGACAGTAGGTTAGATCCCTGCCTTTGGGGAGCCTGTATTGCTGGAGTCATACCCAGCCTGAGTGTTGCCCTGCACTATGGCTGGAGGACACATTTGGCAGAGGTCATGCTGCAGCTCCCAGTGCCCCAGGGTCCTGCCCTGTGCCCAGCCCCAGCTGCATGGACCCTGAACTGCCCATGGCTTCCTTTGAGAAGGCTGATCCAGAAGGAACCTAGGTGCGGAGGGCAAAGGGGTTGTGCAACCAGGGTGAGGCTCCCCACTTCCTGTGCCTCCCATGCTCACAGACCTTTGCCTGCTATGGTCCTCACCAGTATTGCCCCTTCTCTCTTCCTCCGTGTGCCCTTTGGCTTTTACTGTCTTCAACAGCATCTCAGGGCAGCTGCCCTGATCCTGGAGCAGTTTGTCGCCCCCCACACCTCAGCCAGTCCTGGCATCCCTGATGGTCTCAGCCTCCTGGCTTCAGGCCCATTGCTGAGGAAGGGCCTTGGCAAGCTTGTGGATATTGCACTGGAAGAGAGTACAGTGTTGGGGAGTGACAGTGTCGGGGAAGCTGGGGCCATGAGCATAAGCCATTCTTGGGGACAACTTTCTGCCCAGAAAAACGTGTGGCTTGACTCTGCTTGGGGAAAAGGTCTAAGCCAAGTGGACTGACAGGTGGGGCCTGAAGCCTGCAGACACTGGCTTGATTGGGTCCTGGACGTTGAGCCCTGATGTTGGAGCCACACCAGATTCGCATCCCAGAATCTGCCCCTTACCAAGATGTGACCTTGGGCAGATGACTTCACCTCACTCAACCTTGGCTTCTAAGGCTGAGAAATGGGACTAAATGCTTTATTTTATAGGATGCCTTTGAGGAGCCCATGGAATGTGCCTGGCTTGTCACATTGTGGCACTTTGCCTTGCCTTCCTTGGAGGGCAGACACAGAGAAGGAGGGCCCAGTGCCCTCAGTCATCCGTCTGATGCTTGGGACCAACATAAGGCAGGCAGGGACACAAAGCAGCCTGGAAAGGAGGGAAGGCAGGGGTTTCAGTCTTGGGCTCTTGAATCCTCACTGTTATCTGGAGATGGAACCAGCAGGCTGGTAGCCTGGCACCCCATATCTCCCCTCAGCCCCTCCTCACTGGGGCCCCAGTGCCTTGAGGCCTAGGCCAGGGCAGCCAGTGGCTCCAGCTCAGGGAAAGCTAGGCTCACCTACCCTGTCCCCTCCCTTGCTCCTGAGGCCAAAGCCAGTGACTCAGAACTGACCCCCCCCAGCACATGTCAAGGGGCACTTGCAGGTAGAATGGGAGGAGGACATGAAACTGATGGTGGATTCCAGGCTGTGCAGGCCGCTGAGGTCTTGAGATATGTGCCTACTGCCCATGTAGCCTCCTTCAGCCAGAGCCCGGAGCATAGACAGGAGTGTAGGCTTCCGTTTGATGTACTCCAGGAACGTAATTCTACCTCCTCTTCAGATAGTTGGGGAAACAGGCCATGTCTCACAGTTGGATGCTTTTCCCAGTTGTCAATGGGTTTCTCCATGGGACTCATCCAGCTGCCTTATTAAAATATGCCCCCAACCCCCTAAATGCAAGGAATATACTCTTTTTTGCTCCCTCACTCCTACCTGGACCCTGGGCCAATAGCCGCTCTCAATCCCTGCCCTAAACACTTGGCTGGCTGCCCATGACTTAAGTATGTTCTCTTGTGTCCTATGGAATCCAGTTCTGAACAGGTCAGTGAGGACAGCTGTGGGGAAAAGCCCTGGGCATCCCTTACAAGGCCCCATCAGTGCTCTGAGTAGGCTGCCATCAAAACAAAGGGTTACACTGTGGACAATGTTTGAGAACTGCCAGCTTGAAGTGGGAACCCCGTTAACCTCTGCGTGGCAGCATGTCTTTCCCTGTCCACCTTCACTTCTTTTTCTCTCTCATTTTTCTTTATAGGCTCCTTTTGAATGGTTTATTTTCTCTACTGCCCTGGGCTTCAGCCTTTATACAACACTCTTCATGCCCTGAGCACACACCTTCCCTTTGCTCAGGCAGGGCAGACCATGCCCACTTTCAAGCTGCAATGCAAATGCTGCCTCCTTTAGGACACCTGCTCTGTGCTCTCCCTGCCTCCCCTGCACCAGTTACTTTCTGTCCTATGCCTTCAGAAACCTTCTTATCCCCCTCATCTCTGGAGGCCCCTGTGGGTTTGGCATACCCAAGTTCAGTAAGTATCTACCAGTAAGTTGACTGTGCATGCATTTTCTAGAATAGAGCTGAGACTTCCCATGTGGCCCACATCTGACCTGGCGGCCCATGTATTCTGGTCATTAGGGAGAGAAAGCCATGAGGACCTGGCCTTCTGCCCAATCCAGGCAGCTGTTCAAGTTGAGCGATGGCTGGTTCGAAGACTCAAGTGCACCTGATCCCTGTGCCGCAGCCACAACAGAACAGGCTGTCCTTGGCGGCCGTAGGGGCAGGCGCCAGGTTTCCTGGAGCTCTTGGCTTCAGCCAGCCCCCAGCAAGGGTGCTGGCTAGGACAGCAACCTGATCTCCCCCTCATGACCTGCCCTGGACAAGCCCCCTGAAACTGGCTTTGGGACTATCAAAGCAAATCAACCCCTGCTCTGGTAGGCCTAACAATTACCACCTCCCCCCTCCAATGGCAGTATCTTAATCACCTAAACCGAAACGTGACTTACCTTCACATAGCAAAATGGACTTTGCAGTTGTGATTAAGGATTTTGAGATAGAAAGAGTATCCTGGATTTTTCAGGTAAACAGTATAACCACAAGGGCCTCTGTAAAGAAGGAGGCAGGAGTGTCAGAGTGATGGAAGAAAACGTAACAATAGAAGCAGAGGTCAGAGTGATGCAGTTGCTAGACAAAGAGCCATGAGCCAAGGAATGCAGACAGCCTCTTCTTCCCTGGGGCCTCAGAAAGAATGCAGTCCTGCCAACACCCTGATTTTAATTTGAAACTGATTTCAGATTGCTGACCTCCAGAATAGTAAGATGATAAATTTGTGTCGTTTGTTATTTTCAGCCACTAAATGTGTGATAATTTGTTACAGCAGCCACGGGAAACGAATGCAGATTGTGGAGCCTAAAGTAGAGTGATGCTGTAACACATGCCTACAAATTGAAGTGGCTTTGGAATTGCATTATGGAAATGAGCAGAGGCTGGAAGAATTTTGAGGATCATGATAAATTGCCTCAACCACCTCTCCTCTGATAGGTGGTGTGGCCAGGGGAACGCTTCCTCAACCTTAAGGCCTAAACTGCCCAGGCCCCCTTTTTAAACTCATATTTGGAGACAGGTGGCCCTTTCCCAGAGTGAGAAGACTGGAAGACTGACCAGTATGGACCCCAGAAGGGAGTGGGTAAGGAATGGGACTGGGGTGTGAGGAGAGAGTGCAAGCCTGGCCTCCATGATTCATCTCCAGAGACTGGGTCCAGGGGGGACCTTGGAGACTGGGACCAAGCCTGTTCCTGCTCTGCTGTGGAGTTATGTGACTGGCCCAGGACCCCTTGGGTGTGTGAGGATGGGTAGGGGCCCTGTACTCTCTGGTTGCCGGTACTGCATCTGTGAAATGAGCACAGCAGCCCCTGACTTTGAGCTGATGGGCCTGGCCCCTCCATGTAAGCCATAGAACTGAGCAGAGCGGTGTCACCATTCTGTTCCTATGGTGGAATGGGGCCATCTCTCGGGTTCTCAACCTCCTGGTCCCCAAAACTGAAGTGGCCAACTGGTGCCCTCAGCCCTGTCCCTGTCCAGGCTGGGACTAGGACCTCCCTCTCCAGGGGTACTAAGGGACTCTGGAGACACCATCCCACCTGACCAAGGCTTGGGGCTCCTAAAGCCAGCCCTAACCCAGGAACCATATGAAGAGCTACTGGGAGGCCAGACATGGGCCTCATGCTGGGTTTCAGAACTGAGAAGCTAGGAGACAGATAGCATGGACACCTGGGTTCAAGCTTGGCCCAAATAACCTGAATACGCTTTGGATGAAGACAGGAGGGCCTATTTATACCGGAATGGTTGGATCATGGCAAGACTTATGTTCAATCCCTGATCTTTTTTCCTGGAGAGGGATGGGGCTTACTTGAAATACACAGCACTTGACTCCTGACTCCCAGTATTGTGCTCTCATCTCCCATTGCTTCCGAGGGCCTATGGTTAGTTAATTGAGTTAATTAGGGGGTGCTTATATGGCTGTCCATGTAGCTACTAAACCCAGGGATTCTGGCCCATAAAGCACACTGGGCTAGTTTCATGGGCAGATAAAGCCACATTAGGCCAACTGTAGCCCCTGGGTGTGTGGACAGATCTGGGTCCCATCTGAAGCTCTGGTAGCTGTGGGAGGACAGCAGGATTTCCCTCTTGCAGAATGAGTGGGTGCCTTCCCCTCTGAGGGAACTGGATGTACAGCCCCCAGCCTCTGCCCCTGAGAGCCTTCCTGAGGTATCTGAAAGGACCTTTAGGATCTTTGGCCTCATAACCAGGAATCAGAAGCTTCCAATTCTAGGGCCCCCTTTTCTTCCAAAGACCACCTCACACACACAACAGTCCTACAGGAAAATGGTCAGAAAAGGCCAATTTTACAGCTCACAAAGTGGGAAAGGCAGGGAAGCCTACCTCAGTGTCACTGAAAGCCCTGAACTGAGCTGACCTTTTAGACACCTGCTCCAGCCATGCCTAAAGCGGGAGAGTGAGAGAGCTAGAGCAGCCTTGCCCCATGGTAGACAGGCCTGGCTAAGTGGCCCCTTTCCCAGAGGCTGGGGTCTTTTCCACATGCTCTGCCTCTCAGAGCAGAGGATGTCACCTTATTGCCCCCTCTTGTACCGGGTCTGCAGCCCTCTTCTGGGGCATGTGGCTTGGGGAATGGAGGGATTAGATATCCCCTACTGAGCCTAGGGAGCAGATTGTTGGTACCTGAAGTACTCAGAGATCCTTGTGCTACAAATGAGAAAACTGAGGCTTAGCAGGACAGTGGGGAGGGCTGGGGCAGAAAGGATGCTGCCAGTCCTTCCTTTGCCACCTGAAGACCCCCAACCCACCTTGCTTTCCAGGAATAGGCTTGCTTGCCTGGAGAGGCGGCCAAGTCCCTCTGCTGTTCCTGGAAGTCAATGTGAGGCTAAGCTTTGTGAGCTAGCAGAGCATACCCTGAGCTGGCACTGCATGAGCCTTCGCTGCTCTTGTACCTCAAAGCTAGGTGAGGGATCTGGGCAGTCTGCCTGGCCTTCCTCCACCTCCTTGCCTTTTGAGCTCCTGCTAGGCACTGGGCCGCAAGCAGATGCTTTGTATTTATTAGTTTTAAATCTCACACAATCCTACAGTTAGGGGTTATTTATTTTATTTTATTTTATTTTGATTTTTCTAGAGATGAGGTCTTGCTGTGTTTCCCAGACTGGGCTCAAACTCCTAGGCTCAAGCAATTCTCCTGCCTTAGCCTTCCAAGAAGCTGAGACTATAGGTGCCTATCACTGTACCCGACAGATGGGGTTTGGGTTTTGTTCGTTGTTTGTTTTTTTGAGACAGAGTCTTACTCTGTCTCCCAGGCTGGAGTACACTGGCATGATTATAGCTCAGCTCACTGTAGCCTCGAACTGTTAGGCTCAAGTGATCCTCCCACTCAGCCTCCTGAGTATCTGGGAATACAAGTGCGAACCACCCTGCCTAACTAATTTTTATTTTATTTTATTTTTTGTAGAAACGGGGTCTTGTTATGTTGCCAGGCTGACACATGGGCTTTTTAATTGTCTCCACATTGCAGTTGAGGACACCAACACTCAGCAGGCTGCAGTTATGGGTCAGGTTGCACAGCTGGACTGGAAGGGAGGATGAGGCTGCCATTGGTGCCCATTTGACTCTCAGAGACACCGAGGCCAGCATAACTAAGTCTTGGGCTGTCCCCTACAGAGATTACTGCAGAAGACACTTGGGCTTGTGGACCCTTGGAACAGGAGCAGGGGTTTCCAGGGCTGTCCTTAGAGAGCTTTCTAGAAGACCTGCACCTGCTCTTGGGTGTGTCTCTTGAGGTATAGGACCAGGGACTCCATCTCTCAAGCCCTACTATGTGTCAGGCACCTGGGGGATGACACCAAGTGGAGGGTCCTATAGAATATGGTGCATCCTTTGCCAAGTACTTCCAGGGTTATCTTACTCAACCTCCATGACATCCTGAGAGATGGAGGCTGTGAACTCCCTCACTATACCGAAAAGGAAACAAACAGGCCAAGAAACTTGCTCATATGCTGGCTGAGCTGTGATTCTGACACAGGTCGAGTGACCTGGAGCTGGAGTCCTTGATCGTCACACCAGGCTTGAGGAGGGGTGGACAGGACAGCCATATACCAGGCAGTAGGGACAGTCTGGGCAAAAGCCTGGAGTCCTGCAGACACATGGGTAGGGATGTGTAGGGGTGAGGTAGTGCTGGGGGGTGTCTTTGGCTGAGCTCTGAATGCCTTTCTGGGGACCAGGGACCTAAAGAGGTTTTTGAGCTGAGTTACAGGGGTAGAGAGGCATTGAGGCTGCTCTTTCTGGCTGTCAGAAAAAGGGGGCTGAGGCAGGAGGCTGCAACTGTCCAGGGTGTGGAGGCAGCTGGGGTCTGTAGCAGTAGCATTAGATATTCTGGAGCAGAAGTGACTCACAACCATTGCTGAGGGGTTGGATGGGGGATGACCAGGACCACAATGGGCCCAGGTATCTGATTGGGACCTGGGGTAAATGGGGCCACCCTGAGTTGGAGACTAGGTGCTGGGGACAGTTGGGGACTTTGACAGTGTGGAATGCCTTCAGAATATCCCAGAGGCAGTGTCAGGGCATCTGGAGATGCAAATGTGACCATGTGGGGACACAGTCCAAAGGCAGCCCTTGAAGTGGAGTTGGGAAGACTACTCTCCTGGGCCTGAGTGCTGGCAACAACAGTACCAGGCACCTGGCACTAGTTTACACACTGTCATAAATCCATCTGTCGGCACATCAGGGATCCCTTCTTTGGCCCATTGTGTGGATGAAGGGACTGAAGCTTAACCTGCCCAAGGTCACATACAGCTGGCAACTGGCTGTGCTGGAGTTTGAACCTAGTCTTCTGACATCCCAGCCAGGAGAGGGGTGAGCAGGCTGCAGAGGCCAAATGCAGCCCAGGACCTCAACCCCCATAGGAGCCCCAGGATCCAGTGAGGTGCCCCACAGCCAATGTAGGCTTCAGGGTGAAAGGGAAAGTGATGAATCAAACAGAAAGTAGCAGACGCAGACAGGCTCTCTCCCCGGCAGTCCAGGCACCAGATTTTCACGCTCACAGTAAAGGGGCCAGGCAGAGCACTAGGTGTGGGGCAGGAGAGGGCAGTGAAAGTGGTTGCCGCTGAACCCAGACTCTGATGTACTCCGGATATGGGTGGTACGGACTGACAGACACCCAGCCCAGTTCCACACTGAAAGTTGACTGCCTCTCAGCATGTGAGGATATGAAGTTTGCCTTGTCAGGGGGAGCATTTCAGGTCCCTAGGCCTGTGAGGTTCTGGGATGAGGCACCAGATGAATGAGTCTAAAAACCCTTGTTGAAGACACTCCACAGCTCAAGAACTGACTATTGCTCCCTACTCTCTTGGCCCACACTGAAAGCCACTGTTTCTTCATCATTCTGCTCAGCCCTCCTGCCTCAGCCCCGTAGAGCTTTGGAACTCCTTCTTTCAAAGCACATTTCATGTGCAACTCAAATGTGTATTTTTAAAAAGATAAAGTGAGCATCTTGTTAGCATAAATGTGTTTTGTAAGTGCAAATTCTTTCTTAGCATGAGGGGCAAACAGCAGTGAACACAAATGTTTGAACTGGGAGCTGCGATGGGAGTTGTAGTCTTATGTTGGTCTCAATGTCCAGTTTCTTTCAGTGTTTGATTTTGGTGGCACAGGACTAAGTGACCGCTCATTCTCACAGGTGAGCATTTACAAATCCTAGCTCTGTGTCTGAAACCCACTTTGCAGTCTCTTTGATTTACAGGGACAGTGAGAGAAGCCTTATTTCAAGCTCAGCACAAACCCTGTTCTCTGAGCACATAGGAAGGATTCTAATGTGTCATAATTTGGTTCTGTGCCCATTTGAGTCTGTATGCAGTTTTCAAAATTGGGTTTTTTGTTTTTCAATAATTAAAAATATGAGCTGGGCATGGTGGCGCATGCCTGTGGTCCCAGCTACTCAGGAGGCTGAGGTAGAAGGATTACTTGAGCCCAAGAGTTCGAGACAGCAGTGAGCTATAATCTTGCCACTGCACTTCAGCCTGGACATTAGAGTGAGACCCTGTCTCTAAAAAAGTAATTTTAGGCTGGGCATGGTGGCTTATGTCTGTAATCCCAGCACTTTGGGAGGCGGAGGCAGGCAGATCACTTGAGGTCAGGAGTTCAAGACCAGCCTGTCCAACATGTTGAAATCCTGTCTCTGCTAAAAATACAAAAATTAGCCAGGTGTGGTGGCTTACACCTGTTATCCCAGCTACTTGAGAGGCTGAGGCAGGAGAATTGCTTGAACCCAGGAGGTGGAAGTTGCAGTGAGCTGAGATCGTGGCATTGCACTCCAGCCTGGGCAACAAGAGTGAAACTCTGTCTCAATAATAATAATTTAAAAAAATATTTTAAAAATGAAAGAAAAGAAAAGGAAGAAGGGAGGAGGAGGAGGAAGCAAGAAAGAGAGAAAGGGGCTGGATGCGGTGGCTCACACCTGTAATCCCAGCACTTTGGGAGGCTGAGGCAGGTGGATCAACTGAGGTCAGGAGTTCAAGACCAGCCTGGCCAACATGGTGAAACCCCGTCCCTACTAATAATATAAAAATTAGCTGGGTGTGGTGGCTCATGCCTGTAATTCAGGAGGCTGAGGCAGGAGAATCGCTTGAACCCGGGAGGCAGAGGTTGCAGTGAGCTGAGATCGTGACACTGCACTCCAGTGTGGGCAACAGAGCAAGACTCTGTCTCAAAAAAAGGGAGTGAAAGGAAGGAAGAAGGAAAGAAAGAGAAGGAACTCCTGTGGGGTGGTTGATGCCCCATGTGACCATTTCCTCCCCGGAGGTCTGCCCTGACAGCTCCAGCCCCCACAGTCTAAGGCTCCCAGCACTCCCACCCAACATCTGTCACAGCAAA